AGCACACCTTCCCGCCCCTGCTGCCCGGCTCCCCCCACACCACACTGGCCCTCGCTGGCCCTCCTCCTCAGAGCAGTTCTCCCTCCTCTGTGGGGCAGCTGAGCACACCTTCCCGCCCCTGCTGCCCTGGGGCCTGGCCCTGCTTTAGCTGTTTGTCTTCTGTCTTCTCTGCAAGACCCTGAGCCCAGGAAGCAGGGACTTTGCTCTTCTCCTGCAGAGTGGCTGTCCCAGGGCAGCGTCCAGCAGACCGTGAGTGCTCAGTGGGCACACAGGCTGGGCAGGGGGCGGCAGGCACAGTGGCTCAGTGACACACTTTCCAGCCCCCCATGCCACACCCGCACGACTAAGGTAGTGATGATAACACTCACCCAGGTGAGCGTGGACACCTCCTCAGCAGCACTGAGGCACTGGGGGTGACAGAGCCCTGGGGAGGGAACTAAAGCTTACGAGTTGGACATGGGCTCAAATTCAGAGCCAAGTGACAATATGATTCGGTGACCCATCTTGTGAAGGGGGGATATGACAGTCCACCTGGATCCCATAAGCTGTGATGTGAAAAGTGTGCAGAGTAGAACAGGCCCCATATGTCCTGTCGGGGATGACATGGTGGCACACAAGGGGACACAGTCCTCAGAGACAGATATGCGTGCGGACTCTTCTTTGGGAATAGAGTGACCTCAGGTGACCTGCTTAACCTCTATCTCTCTGTGTCCACATCTGTGAAGTGCCCTGGGGGTGGGGTGGCAGCATCTGTCTTGCAGAGTCCTGGTGACACTAAGAAATGTCACACTGACACCTTGCCCTGTGTACATGCAGCACACCTTTACTCTGACACCTGCCACCACCGCCATCCGCTGGAATGGGAAGCAGGGAGTCATAGGCGACCAGGAACTCTAAGGACTGGGGACTCTAAGGACCTCAGAACTTCATCCCTAGAACAAAAGCAGAAGCAACAATGGGAGTATGCACAGAGCGCGAACTGAGCAGGAAACCGTGGACTAGCTGCAAGTCAGAGCAGAGGCCACCAGGTCCCTGAAGCTCTGCGGTCCTGAGGCCTGAAGAAGCCAGGCACCCAGTCAAGCTCTTGCCCCACCCTGCCCTCAACTTTCAGGCAGCGCCCCTGCCTCTCACAGGGATTGGCCCCAGGAGCCGGGCACCTTGCCCCAACTCTCCCACCGGGCTGATGCCCTCACCCAATGGGTGCCAAGACCCCCTTCTTTGTGGGCTCTGCCAAATCTCTCCCCCCATCTGCTGTTTCTCTGGGGATGTTTCCATGTGATCGTGACCTCCTAGGCCACAGTAATTCGCCCAGGAGATCCTGGTGCCCCAGTGACCATCAGGCCATGGGCCATGTGCTGTCACCACCACATCCTCATATGTTATCTCCAACCTGGAAGGGCCCCCTCTTCTCTGCCTGGAGCTACAGTTGGCATGCTGTGTCCTCTCGAAATCACATGCTGCAATCTCCTCCCCTGGGGAATGGTGTTGGGGGCTTTCTGGGAGGTGAGGAGGTCGGGATGCCGACCTCCTGAGATCAGTGCTCTCACCTCCCTCCACGTGGGGACACCGTGACAGCTGGCAGTGCACACCAGGAGAGGCCTCACAGCGGCACTAGACCCAGAACTTGCCAGCTGCCAGAATGGAGGTAAATAAGCCACCTGCTGACGGTATTGTTACAGCAGCCCGGACAAGTACAAAGGCACGCCACCTGTCCATCCTCCACCCAGCCTGACACTGTCCACTGAAGCCATGCAGCCTTCCCCAAATGGTGACGGATCAATACTTCAGATTCCACCAGGTCATGGCAGACCCGAGGAAATCATCGGCCTTAAACACCAAAAAACCCCGTCCTGCAAGCGAACTCTGAGGTGCCCGAGCCCAGCTTCACCCCATACAAGGACAGTGCCCTCTCTAGAGTAACGAGTCCTCGCCAATTCTGTGCTGTGAAATCTGGGAACACTGCAGCCCCCTTCTCAGCAGCACAAACAGTGACAGGGAAGGCAATTATATTGAAATACAATGACTAAGATTAAATAAAATTGGAATATGCTAATCACCATGCTTCCTCGTTAACATCTTAAATAAGATGCAGAGGCAGAGGTAATAATCTCCGTGATCCTCAAGTCCTGATGAGCACAGTGTTATTTTGAGATATCTAAGGGCTGGTCAAATAGCTCAACAGATTAAAGCACCTGCAAGCAGGTGCAGGGACTGGGAGTTCAATCCCTGGGCCTGCCATGCTGCCCCCTCACCCCGGGTGCATGGGCACGGCAATTGAGACTGGGCGTGGTGGCGCACACCTGTAATAAACAGGAGGATCACTACAAGTCTGATCTAGTAGTGAGACCCTGAACACTGTGTAGACCCTTCCTTAAAATATAAAGAGAGAGAGAGAGAGAGATGCAACAACTGTAAATGCGATATGAAACAAGGCCCATGCAGCTTGCTACCAACATTCATAATGGAAGGAAACATTAAGTTTTACATGCAGCGTGGTGAAGGTAAGATGCAAGCCTTTTCCCACTGCAGCGCACATCGCTGCTCACCGAATTCTAACCACAGGTTCTTGGAGGCCTGCGGGGCCCCTGCTGAAAGCCCTGCTGTGGGAGATGGCTCAGCAGGACACAAGGACCCCAGGGCCCTGAATCATCCATGGGCCAGAGCTCAAAGGTTCCAGAACATCTGCCCTCCTCTGAGGAAGAAATAAACCCACACCTCCTATAAACCACTGCACGTCCGGTCTCTCTGCCATGAGAACACCAATTCTCCACTGTTCCTTTGGCATCCCTAGGGTAAGATACAATCAGTATCCCTCCCATAGCCAGGGGCACCAGCCCTGCCACCCCACTGTGCTCAGGGCCCTTGCTGTCTACTTCCCACACCAGCCCCAGAGCTGCCGAGAACAGGAACACCAAGCTATGGGGTGAAGACGTGCTGAAATAAAAGAGCAGTTGTGATTTCATAATTCCAGGGCCCCTGCCACAGACACCAGGGCAGTGTGCTGAGCACATGGCCACAGTCAGCTCCCAGCAAGCTGACAAAGCAGGCTGTAGATGTAGTGTGATCAAAAATGTGGTGACTCCTTAAATAACAAGCTTATTGCAGTAAAAGCCACATTACCATTAACCGCCCTGAAAACACTTCCCCCTAACACTGACCACATCATTCTTGCAGCGTCTGCAGTAGCTGTCAAAGGCCTCTTCTGTGTCTGTAGCTGTGCTGTTTGGGCTGCCTTGCTGTCCTGAACTGACTCAAAACTTTTACCTGTCGTGGTCATTTTAATTTTGGAGAAGAGCCAGAAAAGGCAGTGCCAGCTGGAGCAATGACGAGGACAAGGACACGTTGTCATGTTTCCACGAGCCTGTCTTTCTTTGGATGGTACTTGGCAAATGCAGTCACCACATTTTTGGTCACACCTCATAAAAGGTACTCTAAGAGAACTTCCAAACTGTTCTAGAAAGTGGCAAAAATGATGGGACCACTGTGTTCGAAGCAAGAGGGAGCATTTTGAGAGAGACCAATAGCCATGTTTCTTTTAGTGTAATGTCTAAAACTTTACAGATTCACTATGTAGTTCCATCACATCTCGTCCTGAGCACCCCCCCCGGGGGGGGGGGGCGCCCAGAGGCACTGACAGCCTCATTGACCTTGCCCAAGGTCGCAGTGCCCGGCAGGAAGCAGGGCTAGAGCTGGCCCGGGTTCGCCAGGGGACAGCGGCAGCCCACGACCTACCTTGATGATGATCTTCTCCCGCAGCTGGCTGGGCGAGGGCAGCTGGTCAGCGCTGGCTTCTGTGGGCCTGGTCAGCAGCAGGTCGCCCAGCACCTCCTTGAACACCCTGGCCATGTGCCGCTGCTGCTCCACGCTGCAGTGCTCCTCGATGGACAGGATCACAGGGAAGCTGTGGCGGAAGGGCGAGGCTGGGGTCCGGCTGGCGCTGTCCCCGTGGCCTGGCTGACTGGGAGATGCCCAGGCTTTGGCACAGCCCTGGTGGGCTCGTGGTCGTGCATCTATCCCGGAGGCCCACGCCCCGGGCTCGGCTCCCACTCCGCATCTACCAGGCACAGTGCTAAGCACTCAGAACAAGTCAGCACAATGAGACTTCACAGCTGCACTGGTAATTGACAGAGCCGGGTTCAAGCTCAGCGAGAGCGAGCCCAGAACCCTTTCTGCTGGGTTCTACCAGCCCTGCTTAAAGGTCGCTGTCACTCCACAGAGGCCAGAGGGCCTCTTGCCAGCCCTTGGCAATGACTCTGGATACGACCGAGTCCAGGGCTCTAGTGTTTGGGGAGGCCGGGAGTGACGTGTGTCTGTCCATCCATCCAACCCTAGCTGCTCTCCCCTTAAGCCACCTGGACTTCAGCCCACTGACCTCGAGGTGACGAAGGCGTGGTCTCTGATGGCCTGCACCACGTCGTCGAACTTGATCTTAGTGGTCCGCGTCCAGCCATGGTAGATGATCGGCTTTCCGTCAGGCCCGTCCCAGCAGTCCACTGTGGGAAACGCGGCAGCCTCAGCCCCAGCTGGCAGGTCTGCCCCTCTCGGTGCCAGGACTCAGAATCAGGGTGGCCCCCACCAGCACACAGGTGTCCTTGACTTGGCGCAACATTTCTCCAAGAGAAATGAATGCCAGTGCCACCATGGGAATCAGATATTCATACTGCGCTTATGATTTCAGCTCCATAAACCTTGGCTTGCCTTTTGTGCCCGTGGAAATAACACAGAGAAATGAGAAAATTTGAGAGAAAACATTCAAACAGAAATAGATGGTGAAGAAGGATCTAGAGATTTGCAACCCTGGGAGGAAGCAGGAGCCGACGGTTTCTCACATGTGTTTGCACATTTGCTTGTTCATAAGGGTAAGAGCATGAATTAGGCCAGGTACGTGGCATACCAGCTGCTAGGCTGTGATACCGTGTTGTGCATTTCTGGCAGTCCTGGAGCTGGGTCCAGGGTTTGTGCCTCTTTGCAGGCCAACACACTGCTACAGAGGGTGGAGTGCCCCCAAAGGCGCTGTGTCGACAAAAGCGCAGGCCTATGGAGGCACCTCGGGGAAGCTTTGCTGGGGCTTTGGGAGGTGGGGCTACTCGAGGGGTCTTTAGGTCACTGAGGTCATCCCATGTCCTTGAAGGGCACCAAGGGACCCCAGCCTCTCCTTTTTCCTTTCTCCTCTGCTCCCAGCTGTGATGCAAGCAAGTTTGTCCTGCTCTGCTCTCCCACCACAAAAGCCACAGCCGAGGCCAAAGCCTGGGCCCCACATCCAGAGCTGTGAAGCAAAGGAAGGGCCCTAATGGCTATGAGCTCACAGAGCAGGTATGTTGTCATAGTAATGGGGAGCTGACTCATACAGCCCCACAGACCCTTGGTGAATGAGTGAGGCTGGTAGGAGAAGAGCCAAGGAGGGCACAGAAGGCAGGATGGCAACAAGGTCCTCGCTGTGGCCCAGGTCCAGACACCAGCTGGCTGTCCTCCTAGTGGTTGGTCACAGATCCCCCAGTGCAGGTGACACGCAGAACCTGGGGCACCTAGGACCAGTGCTATTCCAGAGGCCACTGATTCAGTCGCCCCTGAAAACAGGGAGGGCTGAGGATGCATCAGCCCCACCATCCTGCATTAGGATCCCTGGACACCAGTCACTGCCCAGTAGCTCGAGGTGCCTCTCCTGGCCGCAGGGACAGCTGTCTCCTAGGGTAAAGTCCTTGGCCGCATCCCTCAGCCCATATACCATTGGGACTGTGTTTCCCTCAGCCTGTTCCACCTTTAGGGCCTTTTTACCAAATCGGCACCAAGCAGTTCCAGAGCCCCACACCCTGTTCACCACGCTGTACCCTCCGGCCAAGCTACTCACACTCAATACAGCGGCAGCCCATGCGCAGGCAGCGGACGTATGCTTCCGTGGACGACTCGCTGCGCAACTGGTCACCTGTGAGGTACCTGAAGGAGACAGCCAAGTGGCCATGTGGGGAGGGACCCTGAGCCTCGGGGCAGCCTAGGGGAACTTTGCAGTCTGAGCCCCGAAGATCCTAAGTTCTTCCTCCTCAGAAATACATCAGGCTATGATCTGGGTCACTGCAATCCCATGGCCATGCTGGTTGTAATCCCCCTGTGGGACATGGCCAGTGACCACCCGGGCCATCCAGTTGTAGGCTTGGGACAGCACACTCTTTCTAGCAGAACTCAGTCAAAGCATCTCAAGAGTGAGGAGGAGCAGATGGTGAACGAGCTTGAGCCTGTAGCTGCCCACCCCAGGCCCTTGGCAGAAGCAGAGGGGGGCTTGTACTGTGCTAGCAAGGGCTGAGGCCAGCACAGAAAGGTACTCGGTTAGCCAATTTTCTCACTATTGGGACAAAATACCTGCCACACACTAGTGAAGGGAGAAAATGTTTATTGAGCTCACAGTTTGTAGAGGTTTCAGTCCAGAGTCGCTGGCTCCAAGGCAGGGCAGCATGGCAGAGGGGCATCACAGAGAGAAGCAGCTCACCACAGAGGAGAAGCAGCTCATGGCATGGAAGGCAGAAGGCAGCAAGCAGCAGGAGCAGCAGAAGCAGCAAGCAGCAGCAAGCCTGCCTTCTTTCTGGCCCTTATATTCCATCCAGGGTACCGGCCTTTTGGGTGGTGCCACTCAGGACTATGTTAATTGCAGTCAGTGGACTAATTTAGCACCACACAGCTTAACTCCAGCATCACACGCCCTCAATCCACATTCACACTCCCAAGATCTGGCCACTTGCAAAACACCCCCCTTGGAGCACAGGAGGCTGTGAGGGGGCATCTAGACCCAAACCGTAATCGGAACCCAGCTGCCACAGGAGGGCTTCACATGCTGTGAGCCACGTGCACCAGATGCACAAACCACTTCTGTTTCTGCACCCGCCTCTTCCCCTCGCTCCTCTGTATGCATCAAGGTTCTGAGGAACCTTCAAGGTTGAGTAGGATCCACCATCTTAGCCCAAAGCCCTCGAAACCGTGGACATGGTGAAGAACAGACAACTGTGAAATCAATTTGCCCCTGAAAAAGATTCTACCTGCCCAAATCCCCAAGGACAACAGGACAGCCGAAGGCCTCCTGCAGCCCCCGGAGGACACTGGGAATGCACCACCACAGCCTGCTCACCAGGGCTCCCGCTCCCTGTAAGTTGGACTAAGTACGGGAACCTAACTGCACCGCCTTCTCTCCCTCCTTGCAGGCACAGTGAGTATCCAAACAGGTCGATCTGAACATGGCGCTCTGGGTTTAATTCGCTATGTAATGGAACATCTTATCCACCACTGGTACATGCACGAGTATACCATGGCTACCCCCAGCAGCACAAGCTGCCCAGGGGGACAGTCATGCAGCGCCCCTAGTGCTTCATGGAACATGTTCAAAGCCGACAGCGGCTTCTTGCTGCGACACACAAGCTCAGACCCTCACTGGCCCTGCAGCCTCCAGCCTCACAGACTCCCCTTGGCTGCTCCTCTGTCTGAAATGCCCCTCTCACCTCATGGCTTCCCCAACCACCCGCCCACATTCCAGGCAGACACACTCAGCAGAGCCTCGGTTGCTGCGCACCCCTGGTGGATGCACCCTCAACCTGAGTTCCACGGCTACTTGGTTGCTTTGCCAAAGCCCCTGAGATGCCCGGCTCTGAGGCAGCGCGTGGGCTGACTTTCCTTATCGGGGCCACAAAGGACTTTTAATCCCCAACTTCCTGGGAGAAGAAGCTGTGTGCCCACCCCTTCCAGAAGCTTCTGTGCCGTCCAGGGTGAGGGATATGGGCGCACACCGCTCCCGTCCCGAGACTCACGTGTTGTGGGACGAGGAGATCCAGTAATGGGACAGCGGGTTGTTCATGTCCTGCATGTCCACCACGTCGTGCTTCGCATCCCAGATGCTATTTTCTCGGGAAAACAGGTACGTGAGGAACTGAAAGAGTCACAGATAGAAGCATGGTGGGGACAGCAGAGATGGCTGCCTTGAGCCACACGGGAGGGGGCAGCACCCGAGGTGGCCACCTAACCTCAGGGCCCAGGGTTTCAGGGTGGCTCAGACCACAACAGGCCGCACTGACGCGCGTTGGAGGGACCTGGCCGATCCTCTCCTTCCCTAATGTTTATCCCGAAGTACCTGACCCCACAAGGCACCTGCCTCCCACACAGAAGCTTCGGTCCCAACGGTGACAGCGCACTGGGCCCCACCACCAACTGAAGGACCAGAGCGCTGCCTGGAGCTCAGGGTCCAGGCTGCGAATTTACCACCCCAACTTCAGGCCCCTTCGTAGAAAAGTGAGAAGCCTGCGTGACCTGGGCGGGCCATGTCTTGTTCCTGGGAGCAGCCTCCTGGGGCCCGGGGTCCCCGCTTCCCGCCGTGCCATGGCCCCACTGCCCACCCAAGGTCCAGCGCAGCCCTCCCGCCCCCCTGGGTTCTCTGGCTCAGGGCTCCTCTGGCCCCGGTGGCAGGCGCCCCCTAGTGGAGAATTCCATAACCGGACTCTGGAAACGGCAGAGGAGAAGGCCAGGCTGGAGATCCAAGATCCGAGAAACCTGCCCTGGCAGCGACTCCCGCCAAGGGAAGAGCAGAAGCTAAGGCTCGGAGGACCGGGCCCGAGTGAAGCGCCGCGCTGTCCGGACGGGAGCCCAGCACGCACCTCGTCCACAAACAGGAAGGGCTCGGCGGTCTCCCGCATGGTGTCGTCGATGAACTTCGTCATGCGCTCCCGGACCTTGTTCAGATCCTGAGCCCACAGCTCCTGAAACAGACCGAGGACAGCAATCACGCAGAAGCACGGACAGCATTCTTCCCCGCCCTGCGTCCATCCGGCGGCCGTGACAGACGGAGCTGGCAGCTAATCCTGAATTCACCGGGCACCAGCGCCGTGCTGGAGGCCTCGTCCTGGGCGTCAGCGAACGCTCGCTGCCAGGTCCAGAGCCTGAGCACCTCAGGCTGCGGGGGCCGCAGGGTGGTCGTGTGCTTCACGCGACCCTGCCCTGCACAGGCTCAGCCGCCACGGCCAAGACGTGCGCGGGGCTGCAGCCCACAAAACGTTGGAAGACAGACCCAGAATCGAATGAAATGCTACCTTGGGGTCAGGCGTAGTTGTGCGCGCTTGTACTCAGAGCACTCCGGGAGGCTGAGGCAGGAGGACTGCAAGTTCAAACCCATCCTTGGTGACTTAGTTTACCTTTTCTCAAAAGAATTTTTTAAAAAGAGCTGGGAACGTAGCTCAGTGCGAAGGCTGCTGCAAAGATAAAAAGGCCCCCTCTTCAGGGAGTCAGCCAAGTAATGCTGCTCATTGACAATGTCCCACAGTGGCTTCTACATAGTGTTAGAAATTCTAGAAGCCTAGGGCCGGGGAGATAGCTCAGTAGAATACGTGCCGGCTGGCAAGCACAGGGTTCTGAGTTCAATCCCCAGTATCTCTCTCTCACACACACACACACAAAGTGATTTGGGGGCTTGAAGGCTAGCTAAGTTGTTTAAGCGCCTGCTGGGGCAAAACGCAGTCAGGCACAGGGGACCGCAGTTCAATCCCAACTCCCCATGCCTTACCAGACCTGCCCTTAAGGCAGCCTGAGCCAGTCAAAAAAAAAAAAAAAAAAAATCCTTCTCAACTTTCATTGAGAAGAAAGATTTGTACTAAGCGCTATGTCTTAGTACTATGAATAACTACTATGAAGACAACAATATGCAGTGTATAAATTATTGTAACTGTCCTACTAACCTGTTTTGAAACTGTCTCATTGCTATTTCTTTCTCATTAAAATTAACGAAAATTTAAAAATAAAAAAAATTTTAAAAAAATTCTGGAGGGCTTTCACAAAAAAGAACATATAACAAAGTTCTATTAACAGAGGGACTCTATTATGTCCCTCTCTACGCTGAAGCCCCAAGCACCCTTAGACAACCCAGGTGAACAAGGACACACAGCTCAACTTTGACTGATGCTTGCTGGGTGTCAAATATTCTAAAGCCTCTCTCCTTGTGGACAGCAGAAGCTAAAGGGCACCAGATGTGTGTGTGGCCAGGAGGAGGGGCCACAAGACTCCCAGGTGGTGAGGCCCCGCCTCCCCACACAGGGCGTGAAGCCACCCTGAGCCTTGTGGTTGACCTGCAGGTCTGCCTGGGTCAGGGACACAAAGCGGCCTGGAGGCCATGGAACAGGGACCGCCCTTGGACGCAGGGCTAACATCTTTGAACATGACAGCAGGAAATGCAAATTGTAGGCCCTCCAGTGCCAGCACCCCGCCTGGCCCAAGTGGCCCAGACAGCCGGGCCGCCCCCCTTCCTTCCCCCTCAAGCTTTGCTTCTATTACAAAGGGGGGCTCTTGGCCAGCACAACCTGGGCTGCCCTGCCGAGCCTAACAAGGCCTCCTGCCCCAAGGAGAGGGAAGCGCTGCTCCACACTCTAGAGTGAAAACCGCCTCTTGGGGGGCTTGTGACCATGCCAGGCACCTGCGATAACAGAAGCGGCAGAGAATCATGGTAGAAATAAAGATGCCAGAGACGCAGTCAGCTTGGGCTCAGGCCTTACCCAGCCCTGGGTGGAGCTCGGCACAGCCCCTCGTCTCACTGGCTGGCACCGTGAAATAACCGGCCAGGTGCCCAGGTAGAGCCCAGGCCCAGGCTCGGCTGCTGTAGCCTTTCCTATGTAACTTGCCAGCGGGCCATGGGGTGCACCCAGCAGTCACCCAGGAACCAGAGTGCTCCCGAGTTTTCACTGCTATGACAGTGCCAGTCTCCTTGCCATGGACAGTGCCATGGACAGCCACGTGGTCTGGGTTTTGGATGTGGATTTGCTTTTGATTGGGGGCCTGGCTTTTGGCAGGATTTTATTAGTATTAGTATTAGTATTAGTATTAAGGATTGAGCCCAGGGCCTTCACACTGAGCCGCATCTCTGGCTCTTATTTTATTTTGAAGTAGAGTCTTTGCAAGCCACCACGTTACCCAGGCTCAGTCGTGTGATGCTCCCGCCTCAGCCTCCCCGAGCGCTGCGATCACGGGCAGGGCCGCCATGCCAGGCTGAAGGGCACCACTTCAGCAAAGCACATTCACGTTTTCTTCCTAACTGTGTACAGCCAAAGTGTGCTCTAGAAAGTGCCTCCTCATCTGCAGCTCAAGTGCTGCGATGGTCCTCACACATGAGCACCCAGCACCTCAAAGGCCACAGAGATGTTCGGGGGGGGGGGGGGGCTGCCCTGATCTCTCAGGCCCCAAGACCTGGTTTCTGAGCACCGCCCCCCACCAGGGGGAGTTTCAGGGGCTGTGATTCTCCCTGAAGTAAAGTTGATCGCCACTAGGTGGCGCCAAATCTGCATCTCAGGTCGGCAGGTGATGGAGGAAGGCTGCTTATTCCCAGGAAGGAAATGGATTTCGCTTTAACAGCTGCCTGCGAAGGCTGGGATTCAGTGTAAAGGAGAGCACAGCGGGAAAGAGAAAAGGGCGCAATTCTTTCTTTGCCTCACGCGACTGCCCGCCCAGCAGGGCCCAGCACTGTTCCTCCACCCCCTTCATTTCAGCGCCCCATGCTTATCTCAGGCTGTGCAGGACCCAAGTGGGAAAGCCCGGTGCCCCCAGGACACAGCCATGCGCTCCCGCTCCTCGGTGCCCCCAGGACACAGCCATGCGCTCCCGCTCCCCACCCTCCGCAGTTCCACTGTCTGCTCACCTGCTGCTCATGTACTAGAAACCGCTGGAAGTCCTGCAGGTAAACGGCTGATCCATCGGGCCTGTCAGTGTTCCTGTGCACAACGAAAGGGGACACTCCTTAGGGACACATACCACAGAGGGTCTTTGACCCCCAGAGCACCCCCACCCTGCACAGGCACCACGTGTCCCTCTGTGTGCGTCCCCTCCCCTCCTCCACCTCCCACCCTGTGGTCCTGGGCCCGCCTGAGATCTGAGCTGCACCACAGGAGCAAAGTTGTCAAGACAGTAAAACCAGAGGCCAGGACAGCAAGAAGAGGCGCTGGGGAGTGGCCCAGGGGTCCTATCCCAGACCTGGAGGACCAGGAGGCCTTCTGGAGAGGTGGATGCTTAATCCTCAAGAGTGCCTGAGGCCAGCTGCAGGTGCAAAGAGCTGACAGTAAAGGGAAGGGTGGGGAGGTGGGGAGAGCAGGCTTGGCCACCTGCAGCAGCACAGGGCCCCGCCCAGAGCCTGTTTAGCAGGAGCTGAGACTGGGATAATGAACTCCAGAGTCTGCTGAGCCCTCTGAGGACAGGGACATCACTGCACCATGCCAGCCATGGCCGGGGGCCCCATGTCACAAGGCTCCTGCTCCAGCAGAGGTCTGTGTCCCTATACAGGCCAGACCCCACTGCAGCCAACAGTTGTGACAGATACCACTTGGCGTCCAGACTCTGCAGGCATCCAGACTCAGTGGGATGCTAGGGTCTCACTGGATTGACATGAGGCACACTGGTACTCTGGGGACACACATCCTGTAGGATGGAACTGCCCAGATGGGACACTGATGGGGCTCAGAGGAGGGTGGGAAGGAAGCCCTCTAAGCCACTTGAGGAGGTAAAATGCGCCCGCAGCCGCCTGCCTTTGCCCAAGGTCGGGGTCCCCCTTCCAAGTCAGCTTCTGTCCCCTCCCACCAGCCTTGTGTCTCACACCTGCCTTCTCATCCACGTGCCCTGGGAGGTCAGACTCCTCCGGGCCTTGGAGTCCTGGGGCTCTGCGTGGGAAGGCGCCAGCAAAGCCTCGGGCTGTGTGCCATAGCTGTGCTCTAGGCCCCGCTAACTCCACGGCAAACGCATCTCCCGGTAACAGTCTTGGAGAACACAAGCGCCTTCTAATTCCCCCACTTGGGGAATCTCAAAGTCTAGGAAAGGTCCTGAAAAGCCCTGCAGCACTGGCTCGACAGTGTCATCACTTTGTCCCCAAGCTGAGAACACATGCTGAGCAGCTCGGGGAGCACTGCAGGTGCCACGGCGCATGCTCAGCCAGCTGAGCCAGCCATTTCCCAGGCTCCTCTGCCCATTCCTAGCCCTGTGCTTCGGTGAAACCTGTGAACTCCTCAAGACCTGAGACGCAGGGTCAGGAAGGTTCCCTGAGCCCCAGAACCCTGATGACCCAGAGCACTCTACAATCGGTGCTGCTGCCACGGGCCAGGCCCAGGCTCAGGACTGCCTAGAGGCCACTGGTCATAGGACACAGAAGGCCTGCCATCAGCCACCCAAAGGGTCCTCACCCCAGGAGGAAGGCAGAGGAATCCTTCTTGAATTCATCAAGAATCTGAAATGGAAAACACACAAAATAAAGCCAATGAGAAGATGTGCTTATAAAAAATCATCAACATCATTCCTGCTAGCTGTAGCTAATCAAACGTAACAAACTCATGGTGTGAAGGGTGGACATCATCTTCACCTTTTCAATCTGATTCCTGAAATACAGCTACTCTTGACACCCTGGGGGCCTGCTAGAGTCTGCTGTGGAGATATTCATTTAACTATATTTTATCCTAGTTTATCACAACATGTACATCTCTGTTTGCTCTTGTTCCCCGCTCTGCATATTATTCTGCAGCCTCAAACAACCCTGCCTTGATATTTTGAAGAGCCACATTGTGGCGAGAGTTCTGGGAACTGGTGGGGTGGTGAGCAACAACTCCGCAGCATCTCTGAGATTCAGAAGCCATGCGCTGTGAAGCAGCCACATGGAGAAGAAAAGAGAAAAGTAGATCCATAGCCCCTGGAGACAGTGCTCAGTCAGATGCCGTTCCAGGGAGGGGCTGACTGTTTGAACACAGGACTCAGAGAAGCCATAGGATGGCTTCACCACAGGGGTCCCAGTGTTACGTTCCCGCAGTGACTGGGTGAGAAACAGCCATGAGAGAGCTCCGGTCAGGGCATGGGCTGGAAGGAGAGCGAAAGGCTCCACCCCCCAAGCCGGAGGCCAGCTCCAGCCTGAGTCCCTCTGGATTTGCAAGTCGTGGCCCTGGCACTCTCCTAAGCCAACTGCCTGCTGGCACCTACATCCACAGAGAGTGGGGTCTGGCTGCCTTCTTTATCCACCAGCATGAGCAGGCACATGTCCTGACTTGGATACTATCCCAGAACTGTAGACCTTGGACGAAAATCACACACTCAGAAATTACGAGAAATCTCTTTGTGTATGTATGTGTTGTTGTATTTGTTCTTTATTTTTTCTTTCTTTTCCTCTTTTTTTGTTTTCATTGTATTGGGGTTTGGTCATGGATGAACTTAAGGATGAAGTTAGACAGTTCCTACAACCAAATGATAATGTCAACACAATGTACTGAAACCTACAGTACACAATAAATGCCCACACCACGAAAATAGAACACATTCATGTAAATAAGCTCAAGGTTCTAGGAACACAAGAACAATCCAAATCCAAAGCTAGAATAGGAAGGAAAGTTTAAAGATCAGAGCAGAAATTGGTGAAACAGACAAAAATACAAAGATTCAATAAATTGGAGTCACTTGTTTGAAAGAATAAACAGAACAGACCAGTACTTAGGCAAGTTTACCAAAGTAAGAAACGGAAGGACTCGACTTCTGTGCAACTAGAAGTGGAAACGGCAAAAGCACAATGGAGTCTGTTGAAATCGAGAAGATCACGTAACTGCTTTGAGAAAATGTACTCTAATAAAATGGAAAATACATAAGAAATGGATAGATTATGATATATATATATATAATCAAAGCTGAACCAAGAAGATATAAAAATCCTGACAAACCCAGTATAAGTCAATAAAATTGAAGAAGTAATACCAAAATTACCAACTGAGGAAAGGTCAGGTTCCAACAGATTCACTGCAAATTCTACAAGAACTTCAGAGAAGACCGGTCTTGTTTTCGGGTTTGTGTTTTTTTTCCTTGATCTCTCCATTTTAATTCACCATTTTGTCTGTTTTAACTTCAATAACCAATTCAGGGGCCAAGCTGGCACCTAAGTGACGTGTACTCGGCAGATGGATGCTCCCCATGTAGTCAGATCCTTCCTAAACCTCACACACCCTATTTGGGTGGCACAGCCACCCCGATGGAGAGCTCAGACCTCAGAGCACCTGCACCTCAGGCCTGTCCTCCGAGCTGCGCTGCACCTTCCTGGACAGCTTTGGCACTGGGTGAGTCACCGCTGGTCTCCCATGCTTCTGCACTGAGCCCACCCCAAGGGCCAGGGAAAATGGTAAACGAAGGTCAGTTTTGCTTTGAAGCCTGTTGCCTGCCACCTGCAAGCACCCTCTCTTTATCTAGGACATATGTTCCCTCAAGAACTCAGGGGCAAGATCCAGTCCTAGCCCAGGCCCAATGAGTGTGTGGGAGAGCTTCCGGCTACCCTGCGCAGGCGGGACCTACTGGTTCCAGCCCAGGCGCAGCATGGGTGAGACCCTCTTCCACCCCCTTGGGATACCCCCACCACTACTCCGCAGCACCTCCCCTACCCCGCCTGCCCAGGAGGAATTTCTGCCGCATTCCGAGAACCTCCAGATCCAGTTCTAGCCCAGGCACAGTGAGTGTGTGGGATAGCTTCCGGCTACCCTGTGCTGGCATGACGTACTGGTCCCAGCCCAGGTGCAGCATGGGTGACCCCCTCTTTCACCCTCTTGGGATGCCCCCCATCACTCTGTAGTACCCCTCCACACCCCGCCCACAAAGTAGGAATTTCTGTTGCGTTCTGGGAACCCCCAGATCCAGTCCAACCCTGGCCCAGTGAGTGTGTGGGAGAGCTGCCTCTCCCCACTACTCCACCTTTTCCCCTCCATACTCAGCTCAGGCCTGGCACACAGGCCTAGGGTGAAACCCTTCAGCTGCAATCCTTGCAGAGAGTGTAGGGGACAGAACCACCCAGCTACTCCAGAAGCAGAACATCTTGCCAGACGGGAACAACAGGTTCATCCCCAAGGGCAGCAACAGGAAGGAACTGAGCACAGCAGCCAGACCCAAGCCAGGCACAGCTGGATAAATCCAAACTT